TTATATACACTGCAATATCCAACAGTCATTATGAAACACCAGCCTCTTGGGTTCCTACAGCAGTATCTAACAGTCATTATGAAACACCAGACTCTTGGGTTCCTACAGCAGTATCTAACAGTCATTATGAAACACCAGCCTCTTGGGTTCCTACAGCAGTATCTAACAGTCATTATGAAACACCAGCCTCTTGGGTTCCTACAGCAGTATCTAACAGTCATTATGAAACACCAGCCTCTTGGGTTCCTACAGCAGTATCTAACAGTCATTATGAAACACCAGCCTCTTGGGTTCCTACAGCAGTATCTAACAGTCATTATGAAACACCAGCCTCTTGGGTTCCTACAGCAGTATCTAACAGTCATTATGAAACACCAGCCTCTTGGGTTCCTACAGCAGTATCTAACAGTCATTATGAAACACCAGACTCTTGGGTTCCTACAGCAGTATCTAACAGTCATTATGAAACACCAGCCTCTTGGGTTCCTACAGCAGTATCTAACAGTCATTATGAAACACCAGACTCTTGGGTTCCTACAGCAGTATCTAACAGTCATTATGAAACACCAGCCTCTTGGGTTCCTACAGCAGTATCTAACAGTCATTATGAAACACCAGCCTCTTGGGTTCCTACAGCAGTATCTAACAGTCATTATGAAACACCAGCCTCTTGGGTTCCTACAGCAGTATCTAACAGTCATTATGAAACACCAGCCTCTTGGGTTCCTACAGCAGTATCTAACAGTCATTATGAAACACCAGCCTCTTGGGTTCCTACAGCAGTATCTAACAGTCATTATGAAACACCAGACTCTTGGGTTCCTACAGCAGTATCTAACAGTCATTATGAAACACCAGCCTCTTGGGTTCCTACAGCAGTATCTAACAGTCATTATGAAACACCAGCCTCTTGGGTTCCTACAGCAGTATCTAACAGTCATTATGAAACACCAGCCTCTTGGGTTCCTACAGCAGTATCTAACAGTCATTATGAAACACCAGCCTCTTGGGTTCCTACAGCAGTATCTAACAGTCATTATGAAACACCAGCCTCTTGGGTTCCTACAGCAGTATCTAACAGTCATTATGAAACACCAGCCTCTTGGGTTCCTACAGCAGTATCTAACAGTCATTATGAAACACCAGACTCTTGGGTTCCTACAGCAGTATCTAACAGTCATTATGAAACACCAGCCTCTTGGGTTCCTACAGCAGTATCTAACAGTCATTATGAAACACCAGCCTCTTGGGTTCCTACAGCAGTATCTAACAGTCATTATGAAACACCAGCCTCTTGGGTTCCTACAGCAGTATCTAACAGTCATTATGAAACACCAGCCTCTTGGGTTCCTACAGCAGTATCTAACAGTCATTATGAAACACCAGCCTCTTGGGTTCCTACAGCAGTATCTAACAGTCATTATGAAACACCAGCCTCTTGGGTTCCTACAGCAGTATCTAACAGTCATTATGAAACACCAGCCTCTTGGGTTCCTACAGCAGTATCTAACAGTCATTATGAAACACCAGCCTCTTGGGTTCCTACAGCAGTATCTAACAGTCATTATGAAACACCAGCCTCTTGGGTTCCTACAGCAGTATCTAACAGTCATTATGAAACACCAGCCTCTTGGGTTCCTACAGCAGTATCTAACAGTCATTATGAAACACCAGCCTCTTGGGTTCCTACAGCAGTATCTAACAGTCATTATGAAACACCAGCCTCTTGGGTTCCTACAGCAGTATCTAACAGTCATTATGAAACACCAGACTCTTGGGTTCCTACAGCAGTATCTAACAGTCATTATGAAACACCAGCCTCTTGGGTTCCTACAGCAGTATCTAACAGTCATTATGAAACACCAGACTCTTGGGTTCCTACAGCAGTATCTAACAGTCATTATGAAACACCAGACTCTTGGGTTCCTACAGCAGTATCTAACAGTCATTATGAAACACCAGCCTCTTGGGTTCCTACAGCAGTATCTAACAGTCATTATGAAACACCAGCCTCTTGGGTTCCTACAGCAGTATCTAACAGTCATTATGAAACACCAGCCTCTTGGGTTCCTACAGCAGTATCTAACAGTCATTATGAAACACCAGCCTCTTGGGTTCCTACAGCAGTATCTAACAGTCATTATGAAACACCAGCCTCTTGGGTTCCTACAGCAGTATCTAACAGTCATTATGAAACACCAGACTCTTGGGTTCCTACAGCAGTATCTAACAGTCATTATGAAACACCAGCCTCTTGGGTTCCTACAGCAGTATCTAACAGTCATTATGAAACACCAGCCTCTTGGGTTCCTACAGCAGTATCTAACAGTCATTATGAAACACCAGCCTCTTGGGTTCCTACAGCAGTATCTAACAGTCATTATGAAACACCAGACTCTTGGGTTCCTACAGCAGTATCTAACAGTCATTATGAAACACCAGACTCTTGGGTTCACTCCATTTGACCAGTACATTCTCAAACCTCAGTGAGTTAAACTGGATGGACTTTCTGCCTTGACCCAACTGATGTCTTCTTCAAATAAGTTTTTAATCCACAATTGTTTCTAAATTGGAGACCCTAGAAGCTAAACAAACTGTCCAAACATATCCAAACTATGAACAAACACAAGTGTTAGAGCTGCAAAAAGCTGCAAAACATTTCTCAAACATTTAAACAAACCACAGAAAGGGTTCTCAGTCCTTGGAGAACATACCGTAACTGAAGTTTTGAATAATTCTTCAGGATGGCAACTTAACATTTTCATCAACAATTCTCATTGTCTTTAATGCTGATGCATTTCTAAGCTCCTTAGTCAGCACAACTAAAGATGTAGAGAAATCAGGACACAACAAAATCACATCAAGATTCCAAAATAATCTGTGTAATGTATGGTTCTCATGTCTTCTTCTGTCATGTCTCTCTGTATGTTGCAGCAGGGGACTGGCGGGAGCAGCTCTGCCCCCTGGTGGTGAGGTTGAAGGAGTGCGTGGCGGAGGTGGTGGAGCGGGCAAGGAGGGCCATGACCTTCGTCCTGTTACAGGAGGCGGCCTGCAGCATCCCCCAGGGACTGTTCCTCAAGCAGAGGAGGGATGTAGTCTTCAGTCAGGCGGTAGGTGGCCACCTGTGAAATGAAGACTCCACTTTAGAAACAATTTATAGATGTTTGTTGCACTTGATTTGTCCTGTCAAGGCTCTTTAACCAATACCAACGTTTTGCAGCTGTTAGGTTGCTAGTTATGATGTACAGTATCATACCAGCATTCAACGGCATTTGTTTGTTTACATAATTTACACAGAGATTAGTTAGCATTTCTCTATGTTTCTACTGAGACACTACTCCTAATCCTAGCATATGCAGTAATTGGAATTGATCCAGCGAGTCTTTGAAACTGCTCCGTCAGCAGCTCAGACAGCTTGCCGGAAAATTCTATTCAGAGATTGTTTGAAGTACTGTGTGACTTCAACAGGTACTTTATCAGCTGATGATGCCATAGAATGTCATTATGTTCCATACAGAATCTCTGTAGCAGGGGGTCAACTCAGTCCACAGAGAGATGTAGGGTGGTAGGCTGTTGTGTGATTTAGGGCTGACCCCAATTAGTTGGCTGGAATGACATGGACCTCTGCATTTATTTTTGGCCAAAGCTTTCTGTAATTACACAAAGACAAATATATTTCACATCTCAGGGAACTAATCCATTGCAGAGGCCTAGACTAAAAGCCAATTTATGCTTGATCTGGAAATGTGGTCTGAGGGTCCATATGGGGGGGGGGGGTGAGGCAATCACGTAGCCTCCAGAGGTATGCAGAGGTCAAATCGAGCTCCGTACCACATCGCCATGCGCCTCCTAAATGTTGTAACAATGCCGAGGGCTCTGTAAAGCTCTGCATTGACATAATTGGTTGACGGTAGGTGGGGGCGGTACATCCTGTATAAACACAAACTCACTTCCTTGACATCTTCCTTCACTGCTCCGTGAAGAACAAGAAGTATGAATGCCCTGACTTCTGCAGAGGCCGTATCACCGTAAAGGCTGCATGGCCAGATGCAGAATGACCTTCTCTTTCCAGAATGAGCTCTCTCCCGCCAATTTTTTCACATTCATTTTTCATAGTTTCATTGTGTTCATTGTTTGCGTTTGATTGTTAATGTATATCACGTCTCATTACATATATCACCAGTAGTACATTTACTGTTAATTCCTATACTTTCTAATCTACAATGTTTGTTTGGTTATGATAATTTCTGTTAATGCATTCAATATATTATTATCTTACTGTTCCCATTGTCATCCATTGGAAATATCATAAAATAGGCCTTACCTGATTACTTCTCATCAGTGCTTGACTTGGACTGAAATAGGTTACGGTACTCATTTTGGGTGCCGGTACTGTTTATATTTAGGTGCAGGAGCTCCACAATACTTTTCAGCTAATATTCTCAAGCAGTAGAGCATTTTAGGTGCCGGTACTCCGCTTGGGTGAGCTCCTGCCCAAGTCAAGCTATGCATCTTATCCCTTGCGCAAATAGCCTACAGCTGTGTCTGTCTCCAGCTCATTGGCGCAGGAAACTCTGAGGGCCCCGAATATTTTATACAATGTTGCAAGTTTGCTAGCATGAGCTTCTTGCCAGACCAAGTTAATAGTTGATACAATGTTTCAGGTTCGTTGCAGACCAGCCAAGCATCGCCAATGTGATTTATAGGATATTGTTTTTATCAGGATATTTTCTACTAATTGTTTTTCAACCAATCGATTGGTCGAAAGAACAGACGACTTTCGGTCGACCAATATCTTTTTTTGTCGGGGACAGCCCTATTGTGAATGCCTTACCCTTTGCCCAACTGGATACAGACATAATAATATAAACGGATGATGTGAATAAATTCTGTAGTAACGATATGTTGTGTTGCTTTTTGATTGAACCCTGTGTGTTTGTGTGTGTGTGGGTGTGTGCTCGGGCTTCCGCCCCTGTGTGTGTGTGTGTGTGTGTGTACAGCTAGCTGCGTTGGCGTGTGGTTTCGTCATGAGGCTGTACGCGGGGATGGAGGATAAGGGCTTCCTCAGGCAGCTCCACCTAGTGGGCCTGGTGGCACAGTTCGAAAGCCTGCTCAGCACCTACAGTGAGTACTCTAGTAGGGTCAAAGCTCAACTGTCTTACACACTGATCTAAGGTCTTTTTGCATTTCCACCCATAACAGTGGAGGTTAGGATTGAGGGAAGGTAAGCTCATCCGAGATCTGTGTGTAAGGGTAACTTTTACCCAATGTGAAAGGTCCTTCATGACTAACAAAGAGCACAGGAAGTTGTATAACTGGGACCAGTAATGACAGAACGGAAATTGACAGAAAACACTTCTAGACAAAAATAACACGCCTCTGTATACTGTGGCCAAGGAAAGGATATTACAAAGATAAGCAACAAATGGGAAAAGACGTCACAACAAGGATAAGATGATAAGGGTCTGGGCCCGGTTGCATAAAACATCTTAAATGTTAAGGAATACGTTTCCCTTACCTACTCATATACAATTCTAAATAGCCAACATACAAAAACACTATTTGTAAAAAGGTATAAATTATCATATTATCACATACATACATTTTCATTATGTAATTCTCAACATATCCCTAAAAACAGCAAGTTACAATGTTTTCCTTTGTTTACACTCTGTGAACGAACGTTCGTTGGTCCTGTTGACTACCACGGGCTAGCTTGACTGGAGCTAACTTTAGCTGACGTTAGCTTCTATGCTAACAAAGCTTTTATAAATGAATTAAACTATCAAAATATTATCAAAAAAGAACAACAATTATACCATTTCACATCATATGCTTTATAACTCACTCACCTAGAGCGAGTGGCTCCCTCTGCGGGCCGAAACAAGCACAACATCCCTTGACTATAAATACTGTAAATGATTACAACATGCCAAAGATTAGGCTATCATATCTCTCACATTCTCTCACATTTCAGGTTGGCAACACAGGGAACTCAAACATGAGAAAAACTGTACTTTTAATACAGAAACTATTGCCATTTTTCACAGCAACTATTGCCCTTTTTCTTTGATATTACAGACAAACTAGGACCAACAAATGTAGCCTACCTCTGACTTTATCAGAAACTTGACCATACTGGTATATAAATTAATCAATATAATGCCAACCAACCGCTTTTGACCTTGGGGGGATTATTAATTTAATGTATTTTACTGCCATTGTACTAACGTAACGCACAATTAATAAAGATGGCACCATAGGAAAAAAAATAGTACCATTTGTCATAATTGTGACATTACCATGATAGAATGCAGTTTAAAACCATTATATTTCCATGATCCACATCTATACCATGGTATAAATTAGGCAAATTCCATGGTATTATTTAGGTACAATGGCAATTCCATGGCAGTACCATCATACTTCAAAGCTAAAACCATGGTACATTTCCATGATTCAGATCTATACCATGGAATAAATGATGCAATACCATGGTCATATTTAGGTACAATGGCAATTCCATGGCAGTACCATCATACTTCAAGGCTAAAACCATGGTACATTTCCATGATTAAGACTATACCGTGGTATTAGTGCAAGGACCATAGTATTACCATGGTATGAATGAAAGTACCATAGTAGTACCATGGTAAATTTTTGTAAGGGATACTTAAGGGGGTTTATGGTAGTTTGAAGGCATGTTCTTCAGAAAGAGTATCTGGTTACCATGGAGACGGCCTGATTCACTGACTAAAAGTCTCATCGAAGAGATCACATCTATTTTGTGAGATAGCAAAATACTGTAGAACTTCTACGATCAAGATAATAAACCACTTTTCATTTAGTTACTTTTTTCTGAACTTGTTTCTATTACTTTCTAGTACTTCAAGCTATCTTACAGAGTATCTAGCTAACTAGCCAGTTAGCTTTGTAGCTATGAATTGTGCATCTTCCATTGTTTAGCTATGTAGCTAGCTGGTTGATGTTTTCCTTTTGTAACCAGGGCAGATTTAAGCAAAATTCACCTCCCTAAATGCTGTTTACATTGATATCCATACTGAATGAAGCAGCTATGGGACCTCATGGGCACCCTTAACTTTTCACTTAATTTAAGGGGGGAATTAACCTAAAAATGATTTGTGCAACTGACTTAAAGTTAAGGAAACTTTAAGGGGAAATTGTACTTACAGTGAGGGAAAAAAGTGTTTGATCCCCTGCTGATTTTGTACGTTTGCCCACTGACAAAGGAATGATCAGTCTATAATTTTTAATGGTAGGTTTATTTGAACAGTGAGAGACAGAATAACAAAAAATAAATCCTGAAAAAACGCATGTCAAAAATGTTATTAATTGATTTGCATTTTAATGAGGGAAATAAGTATTTGACCCCCTCTCAATCAGAAAGATTTCTGGCTCCCAGGTGTCTTTTATACAGGTAACGAGCTGATATTAGGAGCACACTCTTAAAGGGAGTGCTCTTTATCTCAGTTTGTTACCTGTATAAAAGACACCTGTCCACAGAAGCAATCAATCAGATTCCAAACTCTCCACCATGGCCAATACCAAAGAGCTCTCCAAGGATGTCAGGGACAAGATTGTAGACCTACACAAGGCTGGAATGGGCTACAAGACCATCGACAAGCAGCTTGGTGAGAAGGTGACAACAGTTGGTGCGATTATTCGCAAATGGAAGAAACACAAAAGAACTGTCAATCTCCCTCGGCCTGGGGCTCCATGCAAGATCTCACCTCGTGGAGTTGCAATGATCATGAGAACAGTGAGGAATCAGCCCAGAACTACACGGGAGGATCTTGTCAATGATCTCAAGGCAGCTGGGACCATAGTCACCAAGAAAACAATTGGTAACACACTACGCCGTGAAGGACTGAAATCCTGCAGCGCCCGCAAGGTCCCCCTGCTCAAGAAAGCACATATACAGGGCTGTCTGAAGTTTGCCAATGAACATCTGAATGATTCAGAGGAGAACTGGGTGAAAGTGTTGTGGTCAGATGAGATCAAAATTGAGCTCTTTGTCATCAACTCAACTCGCCGTGTTTGGAGGAGGAGGAATGCTGCCTATGACCCCAAGAACACCATCCCCACCGTCAAACATGGAGGTGGAAACATTATGCTTTGGGGGTGTTTTTCTGCTAAGGGGACAGGACAACTTCACCGCATCAAAGGGACGATGGACGGGGCCATGTACCGTCAAATCTTGGGTGAGAACCTCCTTCCCTCAGCCAGGGCATTGAAAATGGGTCGTGGATGGGTATTCCAGCATGACAATGACCCAAAACACACGGCCAAGGCAACAAAGGAGTGGCTCAAGAAGAAGCACATTAAGGTCCTGGAGTGGCCTAGCCAGTCTCCAGACCTTAATCCCATAGAAAATCTGTGGAGGGAGCTGAAGGTTCGAGTTGCCAAACGTCAGCCTCGAAACCTTAATGACTTGGAGAAGATCTGCAAAGAGGAGTGGAACAAAATCCCTCCTGAGATGTGTGCAAACCTGGTGGCCAACTACAAGAAACGTCTGACCTCTGTGATTGCCAACAAGGGTTTTGCCACCAAGTACTAAGTCATGTTTTGCAGAGGGGTCAAATACATATTTCCCTCATTAAAATGCAAATCAATTTATAATATTTTTGACATGCGTTTTTCTGGATTTTGTTGTTGTTATTCTGTCTCTCACTGTTCAAATTAACCTACCATTAAAATTATAGACTGATCATTTCTTTGTCAGTGGGCAAACGTACAAAATCAGCAGGGGATCAAATACTTTTTTCCCTCACTGTAAGGTGTTTTATGCAACCGGGCCCTGTTGCCCGTTTTGTTGCCCAGTGTATTTCTACTACTATGACCAGAACAGATTGTCTACTCCAAATGAACAGGAAGTAACCTCTAATTGACTAATTGGTGTTGCTGTTACAGGTGAGGAGATTGGCATGCTGGAGGACATGGAGGTGGGCATCTCAGACCTGCACCGGGTGGCCTTCAAGATCACCCAGGCCAAGACAGACGACCCCTGTGACCTGCAACCTGTAGTCATCGGCAGGCGGTGAGACTCTATTACCCAGCATCCTTTAACCATTGGTTTTGTCATTACAAGGGAGATTAGATACTGTGAAATTGAGGTTTGAGGACAGCTTGGGGACTTCATATATCATATCATACTGTAATACAGAGTTATACATTATTATTGATCCCAACTTGGCAAATTGTTTTATCAGGTGTATAGCTTTTCCTAATCTCTCATGGACAGATCTCCGTAAACATAACTGGTACCGTATAATCTGTCAGGAAGGAATGGGATGGGTGGGATAGTGAACAGCAGTAGTTCCGGGGTTTGGGTTTTTCGGCACTGGTTATTTGGACAAATCATGAATTCGCAGGTGTTAGCATCTTTCGAATTTCGGATGGGGAGGGGACATTCGGCCTGTAACTTGCAAAGAGAGAGGGTGGAGCTCTTCGTTCTGGTTCCGCTCCTCGTTCTAGTATCTCTTCTCTTAACACGTATGGACCCAGAACTTGATCGAGCAGCTGACCAATTACGTGAGACTTTAGTTCTGGGTTAACCAAGATTGAGCTTTTCCTATTTCACCAATTTTACCTACTGATTGAGGTGGTGTAGATGGTAGTCAACTTTTTCCGAAAGCAATAGACATACTGCAGTGAATTTGGGAGGTAACCAGGGTTGAAAAGCCCTTACAAACATTTATTCTCCATCTGACAATAATTAATAGGTTGGCTTCCACATGACTTACAGTAAGCCATTTCCAGTTATCCTGGCTAATCTACTTCAAGTCGATTTGTAATAATAAAACACCTGTATTTGATTGGTCGTGACTCGTATCATTATTTGGGGATATTCAACTGGAGCCTGATTGTGTTTGTTTAAACAACTGATCCCGTATCTCAGTAACGGGAGTTGCAACACATTTCTCTCCATGCTGACTTGTGCTGTTAACCAATAAACCTGTCAGATGGGTGATAAATAGTTGTTTAATACTATCATAACAAGCTATTCCCCAGTGAAAGTCCCTAAGGCCCAGTGAAAGTTGTTTGGACTTCGCGTTATCCTACTTACTGTAACGTCAGACTCCACCAAGCCTCTGTTCAGGCTTGCTCTCAGCTTTGAAGCGTTAAAAGAATGGGTGAGAAGTGCTTCATAGTTGATATGTGATGTCCTGATTTCCACGCATATCAAATCTCTGTTTACCCTTTCTCTTTCACTCTTCACTCCTCGCTCCCTCCCTCCTTCCTTCATTCTGTCCCTCCTTCCTTTGTTCCCCCAACTCTCTCTCTCCCTCCCTCCTTCCCATTCTCCATCCCTCCTAACTCCCTCCAGCGATCATTATACTGTAGAAGTGCCATTACCGCGGCTGGCCTTCCAGACGTTACCCCATGAGATCAAGGAGGGCAAGGCGTTGCAGGTGTACCCGGTGCTCTTCAACGTGGGAATCAACGAACAGCAGACAATAGCAGACAGGTACCAGAAAAGTTCTCTTTTACAGGCGAATCCTATCTTCCACTTTAGTTACAAATGTTTACTTAGTCTCCCATTGACATCAATTCATAATTAAGTGACATTTTGACTGAAGTAGAAGTTCAGTTAACCAGCATTTAACCATCCCTCAGTTTCTTCTGTTACACACTATGGGAGAAAAAACGTTTATTTTGGATGAGATTTCCCATCATGCTCCCAAGGTTATTGCCACTCAGTGTACTGTTATTGCTTTTGGAGCATCGAATAGGATTGTTTCTATCCAGTCAATAAGCCTGGTTTGAGACAGGATATCGTGGCCATGATTGCATGTTAGTCTCACATCCAGAAAGAAACTGTGTTAGTGGTAGTTTATTGCAATAATTCCAAGACTGGCAAACATAAGTCACTTTTGGAATGCACACGATCAGTCTCACTGACCCGTAACTTGTACTTTCATTGTGGAGGGGTCTGTGGATCTGTCTCCAACCATTAGGACATTCCTCACACGCGATATCTCAGACAGCACTGGCTCGATTTTGACGAAACTTGGGTGAATGAAGCGCCTTGCCATAGAGATCCGACATTTACAAAATCACACTGATTGCCGCAAGGGGGGTGCTATAGTAATCAACTGAAATTCCAAACTAAACAAACATATCTCCTGTTCCGTTTGAGCTATTGTCATAAAATGTGGTTCATATATGCAGTCCCTCATGACCAACAAGTTTCTCAGGACCTATAAGCTCCACCCATTTGTTTTTCTGCTAATTATACTTTTTTCTCCCACCAAACTTTGAACAAGCATATCTCCTGCCCCGTTTGAACTACAGCCATGTAAGTTTTGACATATATGCATCTCCTTATGAGAAAAAAGTTTCCCATAACGACCTATATCATTTCGGTACTTACAAATGAAATTATACAATAATTGTCACTAATTGACATAAGAAGGAGCGCTACATCATTCGTGAGGGACAACATGTTTACTGTAAACTTGTTCTCTCTTTCTCCCTGTACAGGTTAACTTGTCCTTTCATGTTCTCATTCTCCCTGTACAGATTAACTTGTCCTTTCATGTTCTCATTCTCCCTGTACAGATTAATTTGTCCTTTCATGTTCTCATTCTCCCTGTACAGATTAACTTGTCCTTTCATGTTCTCATTCTCCCTGTACAGATTAACTTGTCCTTTCATGTTCTCATTCTCCCTGTACAGATTAACTTGTCCTTTCATGTTCTCATTCTCCCTGTACAGATTAATTTGTCCTTTCATGTTCTCATTCTCCCTGTACAGATTAACTTGTCCTTTCATGTTCTCATTCTCCCTGTACAGATTAACTTGTCCTTTCATGTTCTCATTCTCCCTGTACAGATTAACTTGTCCTTTCATGTTCTCATTCTCCCTGTACAGATTAACTTGTCCTTTCATGTTCTCATTCTCCCTGTACAGGTTAACTTGTCCTTTCATGTTCTCATTCTCCCTGTACAGATTAACTTGTCCTTTCATGTTCTCATTCTCCCTGTACAGATTAACTTGTCCTTTCATGTTCTCATTCTCCCTGTACAGATTAACTTGTCCTTTCATATTCTCATTCTCCCTGTACAGGTTAACTTGTCCTTTCACGTTCTCATTCTCCCTGTACAGATTAACTTGTCCTTTCATGTTCTCATTCTCCCTGTACAGGTTAACTTGTCCTTTCATGTTCTCATTCTCCCTGTACAGATTCGGAGACATCTCTTTGCAAGAGAGGATAAACCAGAGGAACTTTGAGATTTTAGACAGTTATTACAAATCGTTAAGCGATAAGGTGCCAACAGAATGTAAGTGTATCAACTGACACTTCAGCATCAGAAGTATATAAATGTCATCAATCATCATGCAATAGTATCCATCTTGCTTTTTTATAGAACACATTTTGACTTTATCCCACAGAATAAAATGTGTTCTGTATATTGTAACGATCCATGGCCCTTTTTATATAAGGAACATACACAGAGTGTATAAAACATTAAGAACACCTTCCTAATATTGACTTGCACCCCCCCCCTCCCCTTTGGCCCTCATAACAGCCTCAATTCGTCGGGGCATGGACTCTACAAGGTGTCGAAAGCGTTCCTCAGGGATGCTGGCCCATGTTGACTCCAATGCTTCCCACAGTTGTGTCAAGTTGGCTGGATGTCCTTCGGGTGGTGGACTATTCTTGATTTACACAGGAAACTGTTGAGCGTTAAGCCTTGCAGTTCTTGACACAAACTGGTGCGCCTGGCACCTACTACCATACCCTGTTCAAAAGCACTTAAATATTTTGTCTTGCCCATTCACCCTCTGAATGGCACACATACACAATCCATGTCTCAATTGTTTCAAGGCTTAAAAATCCTTCTTGAACCTGTCTCCTCCCCTTCATCTACACTGATTGAAAAGGATTTAACAAGTGACATCAATAAGGGATCATAGCTTTCACCTGGATTCACCTGGTCAGTCTATGTCATGGAAAGAGCAGGTGTTCATAATGTTTTGTACACTCAGTGTAGTTCTATTACAGACATAAGATACAATGTGTCTTTATTTTACAGTCCAACACACACACACACACACACACACACACACCAGTATTTCCATTTCCCATCTACCGTGGATTCAGTTCCTGTAAAATACACCCATGTGGGTCAGATTTGCAGACAGATACACGACCATAGAGATCTACGTTTGTGATTATGTTATTGTTGTTGTTCTACACCAATGCTCCTCTCATCCATCTGTCAGTAGTTTCCATAGATGTCCCCATTCTCGTTGTCAGTGTACCATGTCTTTATCTTATCAGTAGCTGCATCGTGTCCGTATGAACACACACAACTCTTCACTGTTACACCTCTGCCGAGCAGCCAAATTAACCAACCAAAGCCAACTCGCGTTTCATTTTTTTTCACAGGTCTGCCATTTTTTGAAACGCAGACGGACTTGAAAGATTTGCTTGGAACCCTTGGCCAGAATGTAGTGACAAAGAAGAGAAAGAATGTGGAGATACTGTGGCTTGCTGGAACGGTGAATGGCTTTACATCATTCATGCAAACTTGTCAACCTGCTAATGTCTATACTTATGGTGGTTGATACATTGGTGCCCTGAGGGGAAGTTTCTAACTTGTGAATGCAATGCACCTGCTACAATGAAGACTTAATAAACATATTCATAATCTGGCAGAAGACCATGCGAGGTAATAATCCTGATCATTTAGGGTTGTGCATCCGATTACCTAATCACATAGGCATAAAGCAGCAATGGAAGCTACAAGTGACAGATTTACAGTACCAGACAAAGGTTTGGACACACCTACTCATTCCAAGGTTTTTCTTTATTTTGACTATTTTCTACATTGTAGAATAATAGTGAAGACATCAAAACTATGAAATAACACATATGGAATCATATGAAAGACATCTGGTCTGGCTGTAACTATGAGCTTCCTTCTCTTTCCGTCCCTGGTCTCTGGAATTAGCTGAGCCTAAAAATAAATGTGTTCTGGGCAACATCATATTAGCAGCTGCATAGAAAGTAGGGCACTTTCACTTTCGAAGTGAAAAATATTTACTTAACAACATGAACATGTTTTCATTGAATTCCCAATGGAGTTTCAGGGAAATGTTCTTCCCAATTCTACCCCACAGTCAGAGTAGTTTTAAATTATGTTTATGTAAAAAAAAGTTTGTTCATGCTTATGTTGTTGAGCTGTTTTTTCTGCGTCTCTGTTGGTCCAGATCTGCCGACGGCTGAACGGGATCAGGTTCACCAGCTGTAAAAGTGCCAAAGACAGGACGTCGATGTCTGTAACCCTGGAGCAGTGTGCCCTGCTGAGAGACGAGCACCAGCTCAACAAGGATTACTTCATACGAGCCCTGGACTGCATGCGGAGGTGAGCGAGAAACTCAACTTTGGGGGGGGTCTTTAAAGATGATTTCCTGATTCATAGCTGGGCTACTCGCATTCTCTCTCCTTGCCTCATTCTCAAAAAGGAAGGAATGGAGAGGGAAGTGAGCATTGAAGGGGACAATCTGAGGACAGGAACCTCCAATCTGCTCCACCACTGCTTGCATCACTTCCCTCTAATGTTTTGAGAAGGTGGTGGTGAGAGGATGGGAGGAAGTTTACCCGAGGAATCAGAGATGGACTTTTGAGATTCCCCCTTTGTGTCTCTGGGCCCTGAAGTTGATCGGGTAACCTGGTCAGGAAAACTCCTGGTCCTAATTATAATAAGGTCCAGGAGTCTTTCCTAACTAAGTAACCGACCTGACTGGGAAAAACTCCCGATCCTACGTATGCCAACATTGCCCCATTCCGTGTTCACTGGCACCACCCATATCACCAATCCTAGTTGGTATCGGAGGCCACACCCCGCCCTTATAGCCTGCCTCATCCAATCCCATCTGATTTGGTCAAAGTTCACATCAGAGCCACGTCGTAGCTTGGCATGGGCCCTGTTTGAATACTTTAGAAATGTCCTTCCCTCCCGTCCTTCCCTCAAAGAAATCACTGATCTGATGTGACTGGGTGGGTGAAAGCTACAGTGCTGTATCTAAAGGAACCCATGTTGTCACCTATCCAATGTTGTGAGATCAGTGATTACCTAATATAGCATTTCTACAGTAGTGTATCATGATGTCACCCAGGCACGTTCCTATAATCCCCCTCTCTACTGACTGTCCTCATGATGTCAGAAGCCTTCAACCATGTGATCTGAGGTTACCCAGAGTTGAGAGCGTACAATTCTGTCAACAGAGTTTGGCAGAAGAACACATGATCACCACAACTATCTAAACAGTTAATTGTATTTGGCTAGTAAGAGCTTTTGTAATAAATAGATGACAGAACACATTCGGTATGTGGTGAAGACAAAGTGGTTGCTTGTACTATACACAAAACACATCCCAAAAGAACTTGGAATAGACTTCATAGACTAGTTTTATTCAGACAAGCAATTCTTTCCCGGATTTGATGGACAACTTGACGAGAGTTTCGGGGTGCTTGAGTATCTAAGGAATCTTTGTTTCATCTGTGCACCAATTGTAGCATTTCAGCACTTTACCCTAAAATCGATTCAATTAAATTCAACCTCAACAAAGAGTGATTATCAGAGCTTGAGAATGTATATGTGTGCCCATGTGTTCCAGTGTCAAGATGGTTCAGACAGAGTGACACTGTAAAATAGCTGTGTCCTTGACCCGTCTATGCATAGTTGGACCCATAACTATCAATCTTCAGTAAATACGTTTTAGGACTGAGCAGCTGTAAGTATGATGGATCATTCTTTCAACATAGTTTTGTCAGAATAGCCTGTATACTGTGTGATCACCACATAATGTAAACGGTCAGTTGACTGTGGCTAGTTAGTGATCTTCCCATGAGTAAAAAAGGGTGATTCAAATACTTTTGCCTGCAGAAATGCTTTCACACCAACTGTCTGCAACTGCATACACTGTGTGTTCACACGTGAAATGTACCAAGAACAAAAAAGATACAGCTCAGATGATCACTAACGCAGAGTCTGAGAGAACTAAGTCATTTCTAAAACACTGTTAGATAAAACTGGTTTATGTTTTGAGAAAAAGGAAAGTTAAAGTAGTGCTTTGATAATATTGAGGGTTGTTATGAGGCTGGTAGAACCGGTTATGGTTAGACAGTGTTGTGGCTTTGGAGTGGTCCAAGAATAAACCGGCTCTACAACAACACTACGGCTATAAAATGTCATCATCATTAGAGACTATGAGCCTACTACTAATCTAAAACGTCAGAGTTACTATAACCAAGTATTGTCCAATTCTATTATAATCCCCCTTTTACGTAGGATGCGTACTGCAGCAGTGACTCTTGAAAACTTGATAAGTTGCGACAACCAGTGTTAACTAGTAGCTAGTTAACTAGTAGCAATCCCGAGTTGACATGCTCCTCTGTGTTGGAGAAATTCTCTTTACCCGTCCGTCCGTGCCTGCGCATGTGCACTGGCCTTTTAACTATCCCAAAGCCTAGGACCAAGAGACAGCCTTTAGTTACTATTTCCCCAGCCTCTAGAATAGCCTGCCAGAGAACCTGAGGGGGGCCGAAACTGGGGACATATTCAAAAGAGATCTTAAAACACACCTGTTTAATTCTGCTTTTCCTCAGGGTACTTTTTAGTCTTTTAGTTTTTTATCCTCTTATGTTTGTTGTGTAGTAAATATTTCCGTTGTTAATGTTTTATCCCGTAAAGCGCGTTTCGTTGCATCCATGTCTGAAATGTGCTACATAAATAAAGCTTGATTTGCTGGTGGTATGTGGCCCATAGGGGCCTCTACTTAACTAACCCACGGGTTCTTTTTGAATGTTCTGCTCTTTTCTCTGACTGACAGTGTACTGCCTAACAGTCTCTGTGGCTTAGAACAAACCAAATGTGGGTTGATGGGAATAGACGGCAAGCTATTTTGATATTGTTTGATGACCCCTATAGCTTTTGCCACCGTCACGCATCAAGGTTCAGTGTAAATTAATTAAATCCATTGACTGCTTCCGCATAGAACATTTTTGTTGCCATAAGAAGGATGTCTCTGTGGGAAGCTCCCTTAGTTATGAATGGGCCTTGTTTCATCTTGGTATGATTATAGTGACGGAAGTACCAGCTTACTTTGGCACCATAACTAAACAAGCTAGTTCCATACTTCACGTTCTGTACATTATGCACTGTTTGCTTTGTGTCAGATCTGTTGTCTCCTCCTTTAAACTTTGTGATCTTGCGATGGTTTAATTGTTCGTAAGGAAAGAATACTCTCCCATTATTGGTATGTAACTCTTTGGAACAGGACATTTGACTTCCTTAGATAAGAGCTGAATGAATCGCATGTTGTGTGGCAACCAACGCTTTGTATTGACTACAGGCCTCTAGATTTACAGTTTAATAGAGACCATGTAAACCGTCTTTTTTAAAGAATCTAGTCTCAAGACTAATCAACATGTGGTCTAACATGGTGTACAGCAGAGAAGTCAGGAGCTTTGTTGACTTGCCAAGTTTGTTCTCTACTTTGCTTTACTACTTTCTCTCACTTTGTAGTGACTCATGTATAGATGGGTTGGCTGACAAAGTCACGAAAAGGATGCGCGCATCGATGTGGCTGGAAGGTGTGTGTTGTTATGATTCTGAACGGTCTGATAGCTAGCGACAATTACAAGAAGCTGCCATGTGGGGAACCGTAGGTGGCTCGTTTCAGCTCATTGTATCTTGTTATTGACACCATGTCTTGTTTTGAGGTGTTTTGACTGATGTCTTGTCTATGCTAATATGGCAGAAATTTGCTAGCTAGCTAACCAACAACTGAGAGACTCATTGTGCATATGGTGCAAATGTATTTATGTGAGACTAAATACAGTGAGGGAAAAAAGTATTTGATCCCCTGCTGATTTTGTACGTTTGCCCACTGACAATGACATGATCAGTCTATAATTTTAATGGTAGGTTTATTTGAACAGTGAGAAACAGAATAACAACAAAAAAATCCAGAAAAACGCATGTCAAAAATGTTATAAATTGATTTGCATTTTAATGAGGGAAATAAGTATTTGACCCCTCTGAAAAACATGACTTAGTACTTGGTGGCAAAACCCTTGTTGGCAATCACAGAGGTCAGACGTTTCTTGTAGTTGGCCACCAGGTTTGCACACATCTCAGGAGGGATTTTGTCCCACTTTGGCAACTCGAACCTTCAGCTCCCTCCACAGATTTTCTATGGGATTAAGGTCTGGAGACTGGCTAGGCCACTCCAGGACCTTAATGTTCTTCTTCTTGAGCCACTCCTTTGTTCCCTTGGCCGTGTGTTTTGGGTCATTGTCATGCTGGAATACCCATCCACGACCCATTTTCAATGCCCTGGCTGAGGGAAGGAGGTTCTCACCCAAGATTTGACGGTACATGGCCCCGTCCATCGTCCCTTTGATGCGGTGAAGTTGTCCTGTCCATTTAGCAGAAAAACACCCCCAAAGCATAATGTTTCCACCTCCATGTTTGACGGTGGGGATGGTGTTCTTGGGGTCATAGGCAGCATTCCTCCTCCTCCAAACACGGCGAGTTGAGTTGATGCCAAAGAGCTCGATTTTGGTCTCATCTGACCACAACACTTTCACCCAGTTCTCCTCTGAATCATTCAGATGTTCATTGGCAAACTTCAGACGGGCCTGTATATGTGCTTTCTTGAGCAGGGGGACCTTGCGGGCGCTGCAGGATTTCAGTCCTTCACGGCGTAGTGTGTTACTAATTGTTTTCTTGGTGACTATGCTCCCAGCTGCCTTGAGATCATTGACAAGATCCTCCTGTGTAGTTCTGGGCTGATTCCTCACCATTCTCATGATCATTGAAACTCCACGAGGTGAGATCTTGCATGGAGCCCCAGGCCGAGGGAGATTGACAGTTATTTTGTGTTTCTTCCATTTGCGAATAATCGCACCAACTGTTGTCACCTTCTCACCAAGCTGCTTGGCGATGGTCTTGTAGCCCATTCCAGCCTTGTGAAGGTCTACAATCTTGTCCCTGACATCCTTGGAGAGCTCTTTGGTCTTGGCCATGGTGGAGAGTTTGGAATCTGATTGATTGATTGCTTCTGTGGACAGGTGACTTTCATACAGGTAACAAGCTGAGATTAGGAGCACTCCCTTTAAGAGTGTGCTCCTAATCTCAGCTCGTTACCTGTATAAAAGACACCTGGGAGCCAGAAATCTTTCTGATTGAGAAGGGGTCAAATACTTATTTCCCTCATTAAAATGCAAATCAATTTATAACATTTTTGACATGCGTTTTTCTGGATTTTGTTGTTGTTATTCTGTCTCTCACTGTTCAAACAAACCTACCATTAAAATTATAGACTGATCATTTCTTTGTCAGTGGGCAAACGTACAGATTCAGCAGGGGATCAAGTACTTTTTTCCCTCACTGTATAGTTTACATGTTGTCAACAGTCTAAAGCAACCCTGTCTGTTTTGCCCCATAGTGGCGCGCGTGTCAGTTTTGTTGCTAAACAACCAACCCCTCTATACAGTATGGTGGTCTGTGAGCTTGTCAAAGTATAGTTGGTTGCATTAACCACAGACATTATGTGAGTATTCATGTTTATGAATTCCTACCCAGTGATATAAACTTAACTCATTGAAATATTTTCCACTGCTGTAGGCGTTTAGTGCTTAAAGTAACTACCCAGTGAAAATCTCACTTTTAAAGTTAATAATCTGTTAACTCATCCTATACTTGCATTTGTGGCCAAAGCATAAATTGGAGAAAAAACACTAAAACTTCTCAAACAGACAATTTCAATTTTTTTTGCTATTTCCTCATGAGGAGGATGAGCTGGCCAATCAGCAGTCTAGAGGAGGAAAAAGCATAAATTGGAGAAAAAACACTTAAGAAACCCCACCTCAAACAGACAATTTAAAAAATGCTTTTTAACATACTTAATTACAATTTTTGGAAGTAAAACTATTTCACTCATATTGTAAGCAATTATACAGTGAGTGTACAAAACAATAGGAACACCTTCCTAATATTGAGTTGCAGCCCCTTTTGCCCTCAGAATAGCCTCAATTCATCGGGGCATGGACTCTACAAGGTGTCAAAAGCGTTCCACAGTTGTGTCAAGTTGGCTGGATGGCCTTTGGGTGGTGGACCATTCCTGATACACATGGGAAACTGTTGAGCGTGAAAACCCCAGCAGCGTTGCAGTTCTTAACACGCTCAAACCGGTGCGCCTGGCACCTAATACCATACCCCGTTCAAAGGCACTTCACCCTCTGAATGGCACACATACACAATCCATGTCTCAATTGTCTCAAAGCTTAAAAATCCTTCTTGAACCTGTCTCCTCCCCTTCATCTACACTGATTGAAGTGGATTTAACAAGTGACATCAATAAGGGATCATAGCTTTCACCTGGATTCAACTGGTCAGTCTATGTAATTGAAAGAGCATGTGTTCATAATGTTTTCTACACTCAGTGTAGGTCATAGTTCATAGACATCTGGAAACACTGGATAGTTACTTTAACATAAAGTACAATGGAAAGTGATAAATAACACATTGTCCAAGTGTTTAAAAAAAAATATATATATATATATAAAAAACAAATATATGTATTCACTAACTGTAAGTCGCTCTGGATAAGAGCGTCTGCTAAATGACTAAAATGTAAAATGTAAATGTTTGATTTTGGTCCCGTGGGTTTTGGCCAACAGCCAGTCTTAAGTCTTTTCATGTTCATGAAGCTTGCTTGACTATATCTCTATCAATACATTTACTGCCACTGTTCCCTTGTCTTATCCAACACTTATGTCTTGTTTAAATATCGACATAGTCTGAACCCAAGTGTACGTTCTAACTGCACCACTGTCTGGTTTCACTATGGCTTGTTCTGGATATGTGGGGGTTAGGCTTATTATATAGTCTCTATGGGGGTGCCACAGGGTTCAATTCTTGGGCCAACTCTTTTCTCTGTGTATATCAATGACGTCGCTCTTGCTGCTGGTGACTCTCAGATCCACCTCTACGCAGACGACACCATTTTGTATACATCTGGCCCTTCATTGGACACTGTGTTAACAAACCTCCAAACGAGCTTCAATTCCATACAACACTCCTTCAGTAGCCTCCAACTGCTCTTAAACACTAGTAAAACTAAATGCATGCTCTTCAACCGAACGCTGCTTGCACCCGCCCACCCGACTAGAATCACTACTCTAGACGGGTCTGACCTAGAGTATGTGGACAACTACAAATATCTAGGTGTCTGGTTAGACTGTAAACTCTCCTTCCAGACTCACATTAAGAATCTCCAATCCAAAGTTAAATCTAGAATCGGTTTCCTATTTCGCAACAAAGCCTCCTTCACTCATGCTGCCAAACATGCCCTCGTAAAACTGACTATCCTACCGATCCTTGACTTCGGCGATGTCATTTACAAAATAGCCTCCAACACTCTACTCAGCAAATTGGATGTTGTCTATCACAGTGCCATCCGTTTTGTCTCCAAAGCCCCATATAATACCCACCACTGTGACCTGTACGCTCTTGTTGGCTGGTCCTCACTACATATTCGTCGCCAAACCCACTGGCTCCAGGCCATCTATAAATCACTGCTAGGCAAATCCCCGCCTTATCTTAGCTCATTGGTCACCATAGCAACACCCACCCGTAGTCTGCGCTCCAGCGGGTATATCTCACTGGTCATCCCCAAAGCCAACACCTCCTTTGGCCGCAATTCCTTCCAGTTCTCTGCTGCCAATGACTGGAACAAATTGCAAAAATCTCTGAAGCTGGAGACACTTATCTCCCTCACTAACTTTAAGCATCAGTTGTCAGAGCACCTTACCGATCACTGCACCTGTACACAGCCCATCTGAAATTAGCCCGCCCAACTACCTCATCCCTATATTGTTATTTATTTTGCTCATTTGTACCCCAGTATCTCTATTTGCACATCATCTCTTGCACATCATTCCAGTGTTAATACTAAATTGTAATTATTTTGCACTATAGCCTATTTTATTGCCTTACCTCCATAACTTGCTAAATTTGCACACTGTATATTATATGTATTTCTGTTGTATTTTTGACTTTGTTTTGTTTTACCCCATATGTAACTCTGTGTTGTTGTTTTTATCGCACTGCTTTGCTTTATCTTGGCCAGGTCGCAGTTGTAAATGAGAACTTGTTCTCAACTGGTTTACCTGGTTAAATAAAGGTGAAATAAAAAAATAAAATAAAATATTTCCTTAAGGATTGGGTTGAGATCTTTAAACGTCCCTTTCTGTTGGCTACATGAAAACAACAGGTGCATACACACAAGCATAAGAACACATCCAAAGATTTGTCAAAATAATTGAAAGAGGAGAGATCCAGATAAATGATCTTGCCTGCCTTTACTCACCCCCTTCATGCTTCAATTCCTCTATTCATGTGGGACTTAGACTCTTCCATTAATCTTTCCATTTACCCATCCATTCATCCGTCCGTACCTGCGTCTGTGCTTGCTGGTTGTCTTTGGCCAATGTCAGGGGTCCCTCCTTTACTAACCCACTGGTTCTTTCTGTCTATTCTCTGTCTCACCTCGTCCGCCTCGCCCCTCGCCCGGCAGTCGGCTCACCCAGGGAGAAGTAGTGTGTCAGTGGGATTCGGACCCAGAGGCGGCATGCTCTGTAGCGGAGAACAAGCCGGCCTCGCGACACTTCTACCCCATCGCCCTGCTGCTTGTCAGCTCACACCTGCTGGTGGTGTGGCTCATTTTAAGTCTTGTTTTTCTGCTTGCAAAATATCAATAAAGTTGCTGACGATGCCATGTACTGACCTTGTGTGTGTCGGGTGGTGATTTTTGTTTGTGCAGCTTGTTTTTCTGGATGGATGGAGGGAGTATGGAATTAGAGAGGTGTGATTTCATTGATTTTTCTTTGAAAGGATAATTGGGGGATACATTGTTTAATTTGTACAATCAAACACAAGCTTTCGACTGTTAATCTGACTAGCAGGCTTGAGGATTGGATGGAATCGATTAAGAATTAAAGGGATTAAGAAAATAAATTCTCTCCGCTAAGACACATTGGCTTTCTCTGTTTTCACAGATACCATACTGTTGAACCTTGGAGGCTTTTTTCTCCTGTAGCAAAAGGATTGGCCATATAATAATATCAGAAGGACTGGAGATAAACAATTATCTCTTCATGTCAATGACAGAGAGCTAATGTTCTGAGAGCTAGCATTGCGTTCTGGTTGACTGCTCTGGCACAGATACCAAAGTGCTAACACCGTAACTGAAGCCTATCACACTGTAACACAATCCAGTGTAAACCCCAAGCAGCTTGAGGGCACGTTATTATCATAGCCTCCAGTTGACCCCTGTCAGTTGAGGGATCCTCCTCTTCATAGAGACTGTGATTTATTTACTAAGATTCTACATTTAGTAATGTACTACATCTCTTCAACGATTGCTATGTCCTCTGGAATAGTGGAAGTAGAACCCCCTCACTCTTCTTCCCAACTCCAACTATCTCCCCCTCTACTCTAAAGTAGACCATAGTAGGATTCTGATGAGCAGGTGGAAATAGAGCCGTATAAATCAATAGTGATATGCCCCAGGACACGTCAAAAGCAGCTGTTTTCTCTCCCTCCGTTAGACTGCTGTTAGTGTGTTTAGACCGTTAGACTGCTGTTGTTCTTCTGTCTTTAAAACAGCAACTACAGAACAACAGATGTAGGAATGATCCCAGAATGTAGGAGTGATCCCAGAGAGTAGGAGGGATCCCAGAGTGTAGGAGTGATCTCCGCTTACAGTGTAGGCACAGCACACAAACGTTTCTCAGTCTTAACCTGCCAGGTATCGGATGTGTGCCACCACTGACTGAGCAACCATCGATAGGGACCGTTCTGTATTTATGGAACGGATCCATGCAGGAATTTGGCTATTTAACTTGACCAGAACTCAAATTTGATAGTCGGCATTTCATTTTTTCTTGGCCTGCGAATCGTACCGCTCCTCCGGTTTAATCAAATGACACATTCACTGCAGTTTACAGCCTAGACTAGAGGGAGGGAGAGAGGGGGGGATAACTCCAAAGTCCAAAAACATCAACACCTATCGCCGAAACTACATAACATGTTTCAGAGCCGGGTGTTTGCAACCCAACGGGACAATCTTAATTGAACGTGCAGACTTCCCAAATCGCAATAACTCGCACTCCAATAGCTCAATGGGAATAAACGACGGTACATTCGAAATCGTTACCCTTGTGGACGGAGAAAAAAGCGGCGTAACTTGAATAAATATACCTTTAAGAAGTACGCCATGCTCAACCATCCAACCAATCGACAAGACGCTCTTCTTTAAGAAAAACCACCACCACTTTATTCATCCGTGACGCATAAGCAACATTTTCATAGCCTACCTTCTCTCCTACGGCGACCAGAAACTTCTCCACAGTGACAGTATCTTCAGTAACACACCTGAAGACGTGCCGAAGTGACAGGGACGGCGTCCCCATGTGGGTCGCCATCCTCACCAAAACCAGGGCAATTCCAACAAGAAATACAATATACCTAATTCTACCACAGAAAAATATATTTAAAAAATAATAATAATAATCCTCATGCATAGAAAAAGGAAAACCACCAAGAAAAGGAAACAAGAAAGAAAACACAGGCGATCTAACTCCAGACAACACTCGCACTTGCTCATACAATTCACAGCATGCAGGGAGAGCGAGAGAGTGAGAGTGTCTGTGTGTCCTGGGGCTCTGTTCACAAACACAAGCAGACCCCACAGAGTCCCAGGACAGCAACAACACAATTAGACCCAACCGAATCATGAGAAAACTAAAAGATAATTACTTGACACATTGGAAAGAATTAACAAAAAAACTGAGCAAACTAGAATGCTATTTGGCCCTAAACAGAGAGTACACCATGGCAAAATACCTGACCACTGTGACTAACCCAAAATTAAGGAAAGCTTTGACTATTTTCAGACTCTGTGAGCATAGCCTTGCTATTGAGAAAGGCCGCCGTAGGCAGACCTGTCTCTCAAGAGAAGACAGGCTATGTGCACACTGCCCACAAAATGAGGTGGAAACTGAGCTGCACTTATTTCCCTCAGATTACAGAGATCTACAAAGAATTCGAAAACAAACCCAATTTTGAAAAACTCCCTTATCTACTGGGTGAAATAACACAGTGTGCCATCACAGCAGCAAGATTTGTGACCTATTGCCACAAGAAAAGGGCAACCAGTGAAGAACAAACACCATTGTAAATACAACCCATATTTATGTTTATTTATTTTCCCATTTGTACTTGAACTATTTGCACATTGTTACAACACTGTGTATATATATACATAATATGACATTTGAAATGTCTTTTATTCTTTTGGACCTTCTGAGTGTAATGTTTACTGTTAATATTTATTGTTTATTTCACTTTTGTTTACTATCTACTTCACTTGCTTTGGCAATGTTAACATACGTTTCCCATGCCAATAAAGCCCTTAAATTGAAACTGAATTGAATGTGGGAGGATTTTGCCCAATGAAGGCAACATAAATACTAGCCCAATATTAGACCTCTTACTAATTGATTTATTAATGAGAATTAATATGGTAAGAGGTCTAATATTGAGCTAGAGAGGCTTAATAGGCCTACATCAATGGAAACCCATTCTTTAGTTGGTGCATGAAACCACTTATCAGGATTGCAAACGGAGATCTGAATGATTGCATATGACCCGAACACATAAGACCAAGTTCACAAAGTTGCTTGGAGAGCTGATTACTGTGACCATATAGACATATGTTGCCTTTGTACTTTTAATTGTCATCTATAATAATAAATATATATATGCTTATTGAAAATGTGTTTAATGCGCACCAATGTCCTGCCTCCTTTATGGTATCTGGCTCCAACTCTGGCTCTCTCCAGCTGGCTACACTGAGCTCTAACATCATAGTGAGTTTCCAAAATGAAGTACTGCAAGACAGCATTTCAAACTAACATATATCTATTATGGGCTGAAATAGGCAAATAATGTTAGATAGTCATGTAATGGACCACGTGAGAGTTTCTGGTTGTATATCCTTTATCTGCGGCGGAAGGGGGCACACTTTGATTTTGCCTATGCTGCAGAATTGCTGGGACTTTGGTTGTCTGTCCCTCCCTATACGTAGTTTGACAAACCCAGTTTTAAATATGAATTTTCATGGGCATCATGTTGCACCAAGAGCTCCATTGGCCATTGAGAGGCCATAGTATAAACGGATAAGCAAAGTGACCTTGTCCATGGTGGTCTGCGAACCCACGACCTTCCAGCTCGCAGCCCTGCGCGTTATCAAATTCCCAATGTCGCCATGTAACGCTCTCGAGGTGAAAAACGGTTTGTCAAACTGCATATCTAAGGCTCTGGTTTGTCCTAGGAGTGAGGGTAAAGGTAGGCATGTTCTCTGCTATATTTTGTTTAATTATTATTTTGGGTAGAGGGAGGGTCATTTTTTTCAAGCATTCAGGGAGGGTCAAGTGAAAATATATTTGGACTAAGTTAGGGTCATCCATTTTAATTTCAGAGAGGTCCGATTTTCTCCAGGTATCTCTTATTATAAATAACTTACAGCCCCTTACCTTAGCTGTCCTACGTGTAATACTTAACTGATGTCCGTCTGTTGTCTGTTTCCCATCTGTCCGTCTGTTACTCGGTTGTTGGTTGTTGTTTTCCACATTCAAAACACAGACCCCCTTTTTGAGAAAATTATTCATAATTCCATTTCATTCTTCTTCCCCCCTTTTTGTCATCATGGCCAGGGAGGGATGTCGGATTGAGAATGTGCAAAAGAATATTAAATGCCGGAAGTATGCCTTCAACATGCTGCAGCTGATGGCATTCCCCAAGATCTACCGGCCGCCGGAGGGGACCTATGGGAAGGTTGACTCCTGAACCCAGCCTATATATAGAAAATAAGATGGTTACGTCCTGATTCTCCACCCTCCACAGGGAGTATGCATGTGCACACTTTGGGAGAAGTGTGGGGAATAGGACAGCAGGTGTAAAATCTAATCCAAGCAGTAAATATAGTAGTAATATAAATATACTATATAGCCATGCACTGCAGGTCCAGATGTAAAGAAAACAACAACAACAAAGAGTAGTTGTAGGTGTTTCTGATATTGGCCATGTTATGCAATGTTGCTGGGACACAGTGTTTTGTATGAGTTTTAAGTTTGGCCATATCTCTCTGTTCAGGCATTTCTTTGGCATGTTCTACTTCGTTGAGTCATCGTTTGTAAAATCTGCCAAATGTGTCGCTTGCCAATTGAGCGTACTTTCTCACACCCATGCTCGGTTTCTGAAATGCCTTAAAGGTTAGTCACATTGGCACAAATAAACACAGTAACCCATTTGTGTCAGACAACATAGCTTGAAGGAAGCCTTGGCCTTGAAAAGGTTTTATAAATTAGAGAAAAAGCTGAACAGACTGTTTAGCTTGTTGTTCATGTTCCCTCAGGTCTCTTTGTAGAAGGATGTAAGTCTGTCTGTCCCTTAAGGAGCCTGAGAGAGAACAAGCTGTAGCTTCCTTTAAATATCATTTCACTCCATGAATATGTTCTCCTTTCATTATCAATCATGGTTGCTTTTGAGACGTTCTTTTTTTTTTTATGTTACAATAATAAACTCAATCGTAATGTGTTTCACAAAATATGTTGAATTGCTGCCATATCTATCACATGCTGTATATAACTTCACTTTTTATTTAAAAATTGTATTTTCCTTTATTTTCCCTCCACAATTATTCAATTGGAAACCAAACCATAACCCCTTTGTATCATAATATTTATTTTTATATCCTTTTTAAAATCGTTTTTTAATGCTTTATTCAGGGTCACTGTCTTGGATTCAAAAGCAACCAAGGCTCTTCCTGTATGGTAAATATCTTTCCGTTTGTGCTTTGCAATGTGTTGCATTCCTATTATTTTTATTAAAATAAATTTGACTAAATTGCTTGTGATGGATGCTAATATCTGTGTTCATCTTATCATAATGTCTGTATCTTATTAGGGCAGTGGATGTTGATCTCTCTAAGAGGCAGGAACGTCCAAATAAGTATGCGTGCACACACACACACACACACACACACACACACGTGCCACTCATTCTCACCTCATTGTTTGCTAATAGGGAACTGATCTACTGAGGTAGTTCCCATTTTCACAATATTGGCTTCCAACCAGTTCAATGATTCTCCGGGGTTATAAAGGACATTGTTACAGTATCTCAGTCAGTTGCTAATATTACAAACCCTTATCATCTGAAGTGCCAACACTGCTACACTGGGCATTCCAGAGCCTGAGCAGCGGCTTCAGAAAACTACAGAGTGCTCACAGCCAATTGGCAATGGAAAATGGACTCCTGGTGTATCACTGACGAAGACATGGCAGAGGTCAAGAAGGAAGCGTTGGAGCGTCTGCGTCCGTACCTCTGTGAGAAGCTAGTGGCCGACCGCCACCTGGACTACCTCCGGTCCAGGAGGGTCCTTACGCGGGACGACGCCGAGGACATCTGCTGCCGGGTGGGGAACAGCAAGAAGACAGGTAGGATGCTGGACTACTTAGCCGAGAACCCCATGGGCCTCAACTACCTTGTGGAGTCCATCCGCCGAGTGAGGACCAAGGACTTTGTCATTGGGAAGATCACCAGCGAAGTCGAGGCAGTGAAGGCGGAGAGGAGAGAGGCGGCCATCTTGTTAGCAGCAGGTAGTTCTTCGCCTGTCTGTATATGCAAAGAGAGAACTCCCTTTGTGTCATTTCAGAGTGACAGTACTGGATACAAAGGCAGTAGTGAAGCACAGTCCATCCAAACCTCTCTGTCCAACTCTGAAGACAAGTGGAGTCAAAACGAAGCATCCTTTTCCTGGAGTGCCCTTCCTGAAGAGGTTAGTGTGTCTTCTTTAGCCAGTCTCCCAAAACCAGGAGAGCAGGGCGCCCCTTCGGTGCCCCTTGAGGACTCCGAGCCTGGGACCTTAGAGTCCGAGAGCAGTGACCAGTTTCACACCCTGTGTTCCTTTTCAACCCCCTTTCTGTGATGTAATACAGAATGCCTGGATGTCTGGATTCAAACACAGGTTGGATTATATGGGGACTATAAGGAAAGGGTTAGGTTTTATTGTGTCATAACTGTACATGTTATCGAATTGTATTTTCCGTATCATAAAAGCCTACAGTGAATCCACGAGACGTGGTTTCTAACACGTTTGTTCTATCAATAAAAAAAATGGACTAAAAACTTTATTTTGTTATTCAAATGCAAAACCTCCTGTACTTCTCAATCAGGAAAAGAACTGAACTATTAGAAAATGGATGTGTGCCAGAAAGTTGTACTGCTACAGTATCAGGAAATTGAGCAGGGCAGAGCTTCCTGTTTCTTTGAGGAACAGTCTCACTTCATGTCCCTATTTGAACTTCTGCCAGGCACCCATATTCTATGAAATGATCAAATCAACATGTTTCTATGTTTTCTGGGATTTTATTTTGATTCAAGATGTGCAATTTTGACATACTGACGACAACTGTTCAAGGGAAGTTAGTTAGGGACTGTTAGTGTGCATATGACTTGGAAGATTTAAAAAACAAACAAAACATGTAAAGCTCCAAAAAGGCATTTCAATAAATGTGTCAATAAATATGACAGAAATACAGATAGAAAAGGTATTATATTCGATTATATACAAAAATATAAACAGCTATCTACAATTACACTTAAACTGAGAGGTAATATACATTTGGACACGAGCACTAGCTGTCACTCTGCTAATTTCTTCACTTACTGTCATGACCAAAGGTAGAATAACACACATATTACATTTTTTTGCTACGTTATTTATGAAAAACTACAATCACATATTTACAATATATTACAGTGTATTCAACTGACAGTATTCCCTATTCTCTTCAAAAGGTCCTCCAGGTTCTGAAGGAATATTGTAGTGTTGGCGACTCTCTGTGCCTCACACGGTGAGCAGCTAGAACGGTTCTGTAAATACAGGGAAAAGAGAAGCAATACAATTTTACATTTAGATCAACACAATATTCATTGGAAAGTGACATTAGCAGCAGCAGTATTTTGAATGCCAATCAAACGAATGCCAATCAAATGAATGCCAATCAAATGAATGCCAATCAAAAATGTAATGTTGTTGAACAATTGGGAGTACGGACCGTCAGGACTTTTCACAACACTAGATTGCTGCTGTACCATACATATTTGGGATAAACTTCTGAACTTATTTAAAGGTTGACTTACATATTGGTGTTCTTCCAATTTTTTTTTCAGATGGTAGATATTTGTCTTTGTTTCCTCATGGTAGTCAACTGTGACCTGCATGTCCTCGATCAGGATAACCTCCAACTCCAATAAATAACAGTGCATGAACTTAAAGATGCAGTTGTCCTGGGGAAAGAACAGAACCACAGTATGTGTTATATATATAAAACATTGAACTGGAAATCTATAAAAGTGGCATTGCAAACAGGGGTGGACTGGGACCAAAAATTGGCCCTGGCATTTCTAACACCGGACCCTTTTTTTTCCATGACGCCCCTTAAGTGACATTATTGTGTTCTACTTATTGCATATTGCTACAACAACTTACATTGTAGATGTCATCGTTGGTAGGAGCATACAAACAGGCATCTGATTCCTGACAAGAAAGAAAACCACAGTTGTATGAATACATTTTTTCTTATCCTTCAATGTCACACACATGTTACTAGTCCTTTGAAAACTCCCCCTTTACCCTAATTTCACACCAAACACACCATACCAGGACAACAGGATATTCATTAGCTGTAGTCTTACTTCTATTGTACTTTTCAAAGTTTTCAACGACGACTGAAGCTCTCTAACGTCGCTTATTGTCATCCCGTGAGTTTCAGCAGCACCAGCAATGGGCAAACGTGTGGTGGCACTCAGGCAGCTTTAAGAGAAGTACGGATGAATACAGGGATGATACACAATGTAATACACAACACAATGAAGTAATATGTCCTTTGTTTATTTTGTTATGATTGTGGGAATCTCTTTAAGGTATTTATAAGTCATATGGTTCAAAAACCGTGTTGAAATTATTGCTATTGTTGAAATTGCCAATCAAGAGTTGGAAATAATACAGATTGTGACTTTAATCCACTATCAAAGGGTATGTATTCATATTTTTATCAGGGGTGCACAAATCAGCCCCTCAAGGTCCATGCACCTGGTTACCCATGTGTCAATAAGTGTCTGAGTGAAGTGTCTGACTGAAAGAAGGAATACCAAACTGTGTCCGTTGAGGACAGGAGTGGTGCACCCCGGGCATGTATGTTTGAAGCATTCAAATTCCCAAATATATATTCTAATAGCACAGAATCAAGTGTCAAACCCAGTATGGGCACCATAACAATACAAAGATTTCCCAGTGCGTAATAGTGATGTAATAAAGACAAAACAACATTATTAGATTTACCCTCAAAGCAGTAAGATGGATGTCATCGCCCGGCTGGTTAATAAATGAATCATGATCTTAGCAATGCACTTGACATGTGAGAGTGTATACATAAGAGAACCTCAGGAATGCTGACAAGTGCATAGCTTGGTGTCATTAAATCAGGTTACAGGGAGCATGCAGGGAGTTACAGTAAATGGAATGCATGCATAACAGATATGCTCCTGCCCCATGCAAAGTTAAAGCTACATTTCAAGCTCTCTGTAAAAACACATACATCAGAAATGTAATCAAACTGCAGCAAGCAATGCTGCTGTTTGTTTCATTAGGTGCTATACCTCAATACTAAGAACCAATTCCAGAGCTCAATGTTCAGACACTGGTGTCGGTAGTAATGGAAGCCCCAGAAGAGACAGAACCATCGCACGCATTTCTAGAAACAATCACAAGAAAAGAAGGCACATTTGAATGCCTTGTTGTTCAAGACGACAGGTCAACGCCCAGGACCAGAGCTAGATGTTATCCCCAAGCTGGATCACAGCCAAAACTATGTGAAAGTGAAAGTATGTTAACTATTGAAAGCTTTTCTGGGAAAGTCATTGGAAAATAACAGAAGAACATACTGGCATTTATCTCAAAGTATTCTTAATAAACCTGTTTTTAGCTGGTAGATCTGAACGTTAACACAGAGTGAGCTTTCTTCTTGAATTTCTGAAATAAGTTACAATGTTTACTGGTTAGGGAACTGTTGATAGTTTCTCTTAAAATTAAAATGGTTATTGTAACTTTAAAAGTCACATACTCTCCAGATCAAGGCAAAATAGCCTACAAGTTGTCTGGTCTACAGATGACAGATGTGTTACTTCAGCATGATTTAAGTGTCATTTACAGTTCATTGGCCCATAGGTCAATTGTGCCAAGTGTCCCATGGGAGGACAAGATGTTGGAAAAATGTATTTTCAATGTGTTTTCAACCACAAAATACATATTTTCAACCTCTTTTTAACGTCTTGTGCTCATAAGGTGACAGTGCCAGTAGGCCAGATGAGTCATTACAAGTAGACAACCTATTTCTGAACTCCTTTGATTAACTTAATGTCATATGTAGGTTATAAACACAGTGCCAGTGTGCCATGCATTAACTTTGTTTCATAAAGAAGCACTTCGATCCGATAATGTCACTGTGTGAAAAAAGAAGCCGTGTTTTAGGCTAAATACATTTGCTCACCACGCATAGACATTAGGCATACAATAAAAACGAGTTTAGAAGTCAGACTGTCGCAGGAAATAACTGCAGCCTGCCCTAGATCATTTGCCTAAAACCTTTACTATTTAGTGATTACCTTGTAGCCTGTCAAATATCCAATATTGTACACGAACATAACCTATACAATGTAGGCTAATAGTAGACAATTGAATATTTGTAAATTGCATACCTTTGTACTGCGCTCCAATAAACGAATGCATAGAAGGAGCACTGTCAAAAAACCTGTCATCAGCGTTGCTCGTTGCCACCTAACAGTTAGGGCCAAAAGCCAAGATCACATTTTAACATTACCGGAGAGCGATCCGTTTCATGTGTCGTTAATTCCAACCATGAGTTATTATGGCAAGTTTCTGGATAAAAGAAGCTTTAGGCTCATGTATTGCACGAGGACATAAACTCTGTGCCAGCGCCCTGAACACATGTTGTGCGCAATGGCGCTCTCACCAGCGCTGGGCTTGCTGTAGCCTAAGTGTTGCACACACCCTCGCAAAATCGTCACACTCACATGGAAGCGGGTGTTAAATGTCAATCCTCAACTTCTTCGAATGACTATTTAATACAAATCACTTCTAATACAGTAAACATTGCACTGTAATCCAATTCTACCTTGCAGTGACAGAAAGTTGGAAATTCTCGGAGATTATGCAAAGAATGTCTCCATTAAAATAGCTTTTTAGTCCACCAGAACCTATACTTAAATCAGTCCGGGAAACCGGCTCAAGGAGAGTAAACGTTGATGTACCCACTCATATACCACACCTGTGTTTGTTTATGCCTATCAAGGGTGATGGATGGCTGCAAAATGCGAGTCACAGAGCTCACTGGGCATTCATACAACCTCTTCAACTGCTAGGAACGGGGGTGATGGGTAGCGACTGTGCTGTTCTGATGGGGAGCTTGTTCCACAACTGAGGTGCCAGGACAGAGAAGAGCCTTGACCTGGATGAGCAGGCCTTGGCCCCTGGAGAGAGAAGTAGAAGGCGCCCGACCAACGTGAGACGAAGTGCAACCCCAAAAAAATCGTGACATTTCAGACGTCAATGGCATTCATCAGAATAACAGAAATCTGGAGTTGCCCCCTTGCAGAGATGGATGGAGGTGCCAAGCGGCCAAAGATGGAGGAACAGAATGATCAGAACGGTGTAGTGCAGGGTGGTTTTATTTCCCCCCACCCCCCAAAAAACATGAGCAAAACATATATCCATTTTGTTTCATTTATTTTTTATTGTTGGACAAAATAGACTAAAAACACCAGTAAATCAGCTCCAAGTTATTTTAATTTAAGAAATCTGTTCCCAAGTATTCCCACGCATAATTGAGAGAAACATGTGATCGTATACAAATGTAAGCAAGGTTTGAAATGATTATATTTTAGTCAAACGTCATATCTGTTAACCAGGTACCTTTATTTAATCATTCAAATATGTATTACTACCCATAACCAAGTAGCCTACATCTGCCACTACATTACACTGACAAATAACTACACTCAAACTATCATACTAGTACCCCTAGAGTAGACTATTGTATAAGAAAATAAGTCTACAACTAGGCTGCACTACGCAAAAAGTGCATAACTTCTATTGAGGTTTTAGATCCTATTGATTTAGCAGTGATAGGGCAGCTACAACTTCCACAGAGTTTACGGATTCCAGACCTGCCAACCTTAAATAAGCCTAATTTTTGAGTATACCGCTTCAGCGCAGTGGCTGCACCCCGGCCCCACACTACTCAAATCATAGGCAAATGCATATTTTTAAGCCTAATAATGCTGTTGGCAGAAGACTGCCTCAGTAGAAATGGTAGGTTATAAACTGTTATGGGTACTTGGTAATTGCTCTTCAGTAGCTAACAAATACTGTATGTTGAAATGTAAAATCAGTGGTGTAATCATTAGTCCAGTTGCAAAATGTTCTGTTTTGCAGCTAAATCGAGAGTTTCTAATGGACAAATTCAGGTAAGTCCCTCCCCATTTTGTTCCTTTTAAGAAACGTTTTGCAACAGATCGGCGGAATGAATACACACCAGGGCTCTCCCTAGTATTTTCTGACAAGGTGGAGATGATGTAGGTCTAAGGTTGGGTAGGGGGAGGTCTGGAATGGGTCGGTCAATTTCCCTCAAAAACAAACTGCCATTTCCTGAAACCTAGAGTCTTAAAGGGCAACTCCGCCAATTTTCAACCTCATATTCATTAGCCCTAGGGCCTATATCTATATCACCAAAACTGTGTCTACATACAGCAGGGATCATCAACTAGATTCAGCCGCGGGCCGATTTTTCCTTGAGCGGATGGTGGATGGTCGGGGGGCCGGAACATAATTACAAATAATTTGTAGAGAGCAAATTGACTGCAAGAAGCCCAAACAGATATAATGTTTGACTAAAACATAATCATTTCAAACCTTGATTACATTTGTTTATGATCATGTCTCTCTATTATGCGTTGGAATACTTTGGAACAGATTTCTTAAATTAAAATCACTTGGAGCTGATTTCCTTGTGTTTTTAGTCTATTACGACCAACAATAAAAATAAATGAAATTTTTGTTTTGCTTTTTTGCTCAGAAAATTTGAGGGATCCAAATAAAACCACCCGCAGGCCAAATTCGGCCCGCGGCCCACCAGTTGGGGAACCCTGACTTACAGTATGTGAAAATGCTGCATTTCTATGATCTGTGGTTAAAAAGATAACGTCCTAAAACATTATTCTCTTTGACATCACAGTGTAGGATAAAAAATAAGTGATTTTTAAAACCTGCAACTAGTTTCTAGCCATAGAGAGGGTATTTTGTTGCTCCACACATCACCGTAAATCTCATAGTATTTGAAAATCACTGTTTTAACTTTTAATGTCATCTGGTAGAACTTAGTAACGTTTTCTTTTTTTGCGCCATTTTCACATATACAGTGGGGAAAAAAAGTATTTAGTCAGCCACCAATTGTGCAAGTTCTCCCACTTAAAAAGATGAGAGAGGCCTGTAATTTTCATCATAGGTACACGTCAACTATGACAGACAAAATGAGGAAAAAAATTCCAGAAAATCACATTGTAGGATTTTTAATGAATTTATTGGCAAATTATGGTGGAAAATAAGTATTTGGTCAATAACAAAAGTTTCTCAATACTTTGTTATATACCCTTTGTTGGCAATGACACAGGTCAAACGTTTTCTGTAAGTCTTCACAAGGTTTTCACACACTGTTGCTGGTATTTTGGCCCATTCCTCCATGCAGATCTCCTCTAGAGCAGTGATGTTTTGGGGCTGTCGCTGGGCAACACGGACTTTCAACTCCCTCCAAAGATTTTCTATGGGGTTGAGATCTGGAGACTGGCTAGGCCACTCCAGGACCTTGAAATGCTTCTTACGAAGCCACTCCTTCGTTGCCCGGGCGGTGTGTTTGGGATCATTGTCATGCTGAAAGACCCAGCCACGTTTAATCTTCAATGCCCTTGCTGATTGAAGGAGGTTTTCACTCAAAATCTCACAATACATGGCCCCATTCATTCTTTCCTTTACACGGATCAGTCGTCCTGGTCCCTTTGCAGAAAAACAGCCCCAAAGCATGATGTTTCCACCCCCATGCTTCACAGTAGGTATGGTGTTCTTTGGATGCAACTCAGCATTCTTTGTCCTCCAAACACGACGAGTTGAGTTTTTACCAAAAAGTTCTATTTTGGTTTCATCTGACCATATGACATTCTCCCAATCCTCTTCTGGATCATCCAAATGCACTCTAGCAAACTTCAGACGGGCCTGGACATGTACTGGCTTAAGCAGGGGGACACGTCTGGCACTGCAGGATTTGAGTCCCTGGCGGCGTAGTGTGTTACTGATGGTAGGCTTTGTTACTTTGGTCCCAGCTCTCTGCATCATTCACTAGGTCCCCCCGTGTGGTTCTGGGATTTTTGCTTGTGATCATTTTGACCCCACGGGGTGAGATCTTGCGTGGAGCCCCAGATCGAGGGAGATTATCAGTGGTCTTGTATGTCTTCCATTTCCTAATAATTGCTCCCATGGTTGATTTCTTCAAACCAAGCTGCTTACCTATTGCAGATTCAGTCTTCCCAGCCTGGTGCAGGTCTACAATTTTGTTTCTGGTGTCCTTTGACAGCTCTTTGGTCTTGGCCATAGTGGAGTTTGGAGTGTGACTGTTTGAGGTTGTGG